GGGCTGCTGCTTTAAAGCACCCTCTCCGCAACCCCTCCCCCCAACCTTGCTGCCTCTTTCTGATAGAGGCAGCAAGCAGGGGGGTGGTAGAGGTGGGGGGTGGGGCGTGACTAGTCAAGTAGTGTGTCAACTATCTAATAAGCATTTGATTATTGGATAGTCAACTAGTCATTCACATCCCTAGTGACATACTGTTAATAGATCCCACAAGATGAATTAATTATAAAGATTAGAAACAGGTGAATATGGTTTAATTTTCTTTACAAGGATGGAAGATACAGAGCAGCAGCAAAGCTAGGTAGGCTGGCCTGGAACCAAAGAGAGCAGCAGCCGAGTGCAGGGACTCTGGTGTGGGCCTTCAGCAACCAAAGGTGAATGCAGTCCATCTTGGTCAGGTGGCAGAGCTCCTAGAGCAGCCCAGGCAGCACTGCCTGTCAGCATCCTTGGCCTTCTCCACCCCAGAACAGCTAACTAACTGTGATTGGGGAGGAGGGGAGTGACCCCCACACATCAGCACTCGCAATGGCCAAAGGGGGACTAATGTTGGCACCTGGTGAGGGTGGGAGCCTTACATCACATACATTGTTAATTGATGGAGTTCCCAAATCTATTCTGTTTTCTTCTTCCTCCAGCTGCACACAGCTCCCTCTCAATAAAGTTCTCTTAGTTGCAACCTCTGGACTCCAGTGGTAAATAGTTACCCATTCGGGTACCCGAAGCGGAGAGCTCGAGCCAGTGCTAGTTAAGTCTTTAAGGAAACTCAGAAAAAATTGAATCTGGCTCTTTTCTTTTTGCTGTGGACCAGACCAGGCAGAATGGTTATATGAAGAAGAAAAACAGACAGAGATATAAAGCTATGTGTACTAAGTTAATGGGACTGGTAGCTAGTTGTATCCTGTAGTGGTAGAATAGGGCCATATGTGCTTGGGTTTCAGCTGCTATTAACTTTTTTATTAGATGCTATCGCTTTGCGGCTTGCCACTAATACTGTATTTTACACTGAAAAGGTGGAAATGAGGGGAAACAAGTGGTGGGAAAGAAACCACTTTCTTCCTTGTCTGTGTGTCTTGCTGATGAGCAGCTACATGCTGTGGTTTCTGCACCTGCAATTTACACTTTCAGGGGTTTAATCTTCATATTAATAAACTGAGGAAAACATTTTTATATGGCATTTAAATCACCTCTGGATCTTCAAACCCCAACACCACAGATGTTTCCTCCGTATCCCCATGCAGGGGGGTTTGGGGCTGAGAAGTAGTGGGGGGGGTCTGGATTAGTGGATATATAACTATTAAGAAGTAGTGATTATGTAGTGAGTTATATAACTCCCCTTTGCATGTTTTAACATGCTTTACAGAATATACAAACTAAATCGATAAAGAGGTCTCTTTACCCTGTCCCCCTGAAGTCACTTCTGGACTAGAATATTGCAGACATTAGACAGGTTTCAAACCAGCCCTACAAACCAACTTCATACTAGGAGAAGCCTAGGAGAATACTAAATCCCATTGATGTGATAAAGAGCTTTAGGCAGAAGGTAATTATCAAAGTCGGAATTAAATCACAACACTTGTAAGTGCCAGGGTATCTCTAATCATCCCAAAACGTTACAGATAGAATTTGATGAAATTTTTCAGCCAGAATATTTTTCTCAAGAAAAAAAATACAGATTAGACTTGTCAGATATGCAGTCCGCCTCTAGGGACCCTGCGCTGCTGTGGCCAGCAAAGGCCCTCAGCTTCTCCAAAGAGGGATCCCTGTGCAGCTCCATCTGACATTCTGCTGCTAGGCTGGAGGGTTCAGCCCTGGAAAGATGTGCCTCAGTTACCCCACCTTGGGCTGGAGGTTCTGTCCTAATTCTGTCTAGCTCCACCCTTGGTGCTCCACCTACCCCCCTCCCCCATTTTGGGAGGTTCTGCATCCCTCTCTGGCTTTGGGTAAGGACTGGGGCACTTTGAGTGCCCTCTGGCCAGTTCACAGATTGTTACTCATTAGCACCTCAGTGGGTAGCTGATCCCCAACTTTCTTAGACTCCCATTTCAGGTGTGTCCTTGCGTCAGGCATCTTGACAAGGAGTCCGAACACTCCTCTCAGGATTTGGTAGGCATTGAGCACTAACTGGTCTGGGTCACCCACCTCCGGACATGCCAGTGTCAGCTCTGCACCCATGTCCCAGAACCCCCTGGGGATTGGCCTCCCCTGGCATTCTGGGGCACCTGGTGCTGGGCTTCCTGGAGTTGCTACTTTGAGGGAGTCTCCTGGTAATTCCCCTTCCGAGTCTCCCTCCTGCTCCTGTTCTACTGGACATAAACTCATCCACCAGTGTCCCCGCACTACACAGATTTTTGGGCTTCCAGTGAGCCAACTACACCTTTAGGTCTGGAGGGCAAATGTCCTACAGCTGCTCTATTCCCACCAGCTTATATACATCCTCAGCTGGAGAGGCCCAGCACCCTTCCCCCACTTGTGGAGATATTCCCCCTACAGTTTGGCAACCTCCTTTTAGGTGACACCTGGGGTCTTGTGCATACCCCAGAACCATGTCCTGTCTGCCTGTGGGTCAGTTCACATGTCAGCACCCAGGCCTGCTTGATCAGCTCATAGTCCTTGGTCTCAATCCCATCCATTTGGCTGAATGCTGCAATGGCCTGGGGCCCTATCAGGGGATCAGACAGCGGAGCCCATCTGTGGGGTTAGTCTGGGGCAGATCACAAGCCCTCTCCAAGGCTGTGAGGCAGGCATCAATATCCTCCCCTTCTTTCACTGGGCAGCAGCTTGGAGTACAGTTTCCCCCCAGTGCTGCCATCTCCACTTACCCCTGGGCAGGTACTCTTGGCCCATCTCCTCTCCAACTTCAGCTCATGCTTCTGCTGCTTTGCACGGTCCTCTCGCGCTCTCTCTGTCCACCAGTCTTTGCTTCTCTGGGGAGAACTCGGATTGGGGGTCCCCTGTGCTGACTGGGGAGTCAGGTCTGATAGAGTCCTTGCTGGTACCCTGACTACCCCATGGATATTCTCCAGCTCTCTGAGCATCCCTGGAGCCCCACTGGGATCTGGAGACTGTAGCTCCAACTGGTCAGTCTTCATGAGCTGAGCCATCAGCTGCTCCTTAGTGAGCCTACCCATGCTCAGCCCTCCCCCTACACAGACGTACCAGGTCACTGTTATGGAGCTGGTTATAAGCCTCTTCCTTGATGATTCCTTCAATATCCTTGTTTCTTGCTGGCAGCCGCTCACTGCAAAGCACCTGCACCTACAGCCAACAGGGTGCACCCCAAACCATCCCCTGCTACCACATTGTCACAGCTCACAGGTCATGTCCACACTTGGTCTGTTGGTCACTGGGTGGAACCACCAACAGTGTGACAGCCTCTTCTTGGGGAGTCCATTCTCTTCCAGGGGTTCCTCAACTCCACCTCCTGGGCCAGCGACTCTCCTGTCTGTGCCCTGGCCCCCCTCAGGGGTCCACTCCCTCTGGACCCCCGGGGCCTCCACTCCCAGAGGAAATAGTGCAAACTTGTTCTCAAGACCAGAGTGACTCTCAGCCACCATAAAAAGAGGAAGGTTTATTGAGCTTTGAATGCAGCAAAGGATCCCTCAGGCCTGTAAGCCTGTCCCTTCCTCCAGCCCAGCATGTCTGAGTCTCCCCTGCAGCCAGGTGGGCTCTGCTTGCTCCCTCCCTGTAAGGTTTAGAAATCCCTTTCCTCCAACTGAGCCTCTAATATCTCCTACAGCAGCCCCTCCCCTGTCCATTGTCTTCTATCCAGGCAAACAGGGTCCCCTGGGTCCCTCTCCTCTCCTCCATCCATTGTTCTCCTTAGCTGGAGCCAGCTGGGCAGGTCACAGAGCTCTCCTCTCTGCACCCCATAGTCCTCCCTCTGGCCAGAACTGGCTATGCCCTCCAACCTGGGTCTCCCAATCACCAGTCTTTGAGGATCCAGTCTTGTGCTGCTCCCTGTAACAACAAACTTCCTCTTCCCTCACCAGTAAACACCCAGGGACACTGAGGGTTCCCCTTGCATGTAACCCCTTTAAATCCGCACAAATCCCCCACGTCATCACAGGCCCTTTCCAAGTGTGGGGCCAGTGTGGCAGTGCATTAGTATTCCTGGTACTGAAGCTCAGAAACATTTTTCCTTTTGATCAGGCACTTCTGACAGATCATATGCACTGCCATACACAGCTTCCTCAGCCCCCAGTTTTCTCATTGAACCGTACACACACGTGGGTTTACCAGTGTCCACAGTGAGCAGAAATTTCATGGTGATCAGTGGAAATTCCCCACAGATTTCTCTACTTCCTCATCCAAACATTTCTATAGCCATGTCTCCAGGATAATCCTGTTTCACCAGTCACTGGCCTGCAGTTTAGTGGCAGCTGCAGACTCTACAGTTTAGTGCTTCCCTTCTCTATGCCAGCATTGGGCAATAATTGTTTGCCAGGGGCCTGGCCCTGGGACATGCTGGAAGGGGCAGGGCCAAGATACTTCGCTGGTTCCCCACCCACAGACCATGACTGGTCTGGGGGCGGGAGAGTGCGTGAAGTCTTTGCCCCTGCCAATCAGGTGTGCTTGGACCTCACAGCTTCCCTGTCCGTCAACCTCCCTTTCCTGTTGCTAATGGCCAAGGGAATGCTGGGAAATGCAGTCCTTCCCCTGCTCCAGGGCCAGCTCTCTAGGCAGGGAACTGACCAAGGAACTGCAGCTGCCAGGGTACCTTGGACTCTTAGCTCCCATGCTGTATCCACATGCTGCTCTGTGCAGGCTGCCACAGCGCTGGGAGAGCGGAGGAAGTAACTGAAGCTTCTCCAGAGCCTGGGCGTGGTACCACCTGGTAAATCCTCCACTGGTGCTAGGGAGGAGGGAGCTGCTGCAAGTGGTTGGTGTCCCATCACTTTTCCTCACAGAGGTGACACTTGCTTTGCAGTTTTGTTTAATCTCTTGGCCACATGTTCCCTGGAAAGCTGCCCAATTCATTTCAGGACAGACGCATCAAATCTTGGTAAAAGATTTTAATAAGGAAAAAGGAGAAATTCAACTGAAGAAATTATATGAATAAAAAAGCAGGAAAATTCCACACTGTTTGATCAATGAAAAAATTATAGAAAAAAAATGATAAAATGTAGCAATTTTTCCTAGTTTTTTTAAATTATTGTTTCCTGCAATTTAAGATTCTCTGAATAGTATTATGTCACCAGGACAGAGCCGAGCTCTTCTCAGAGAAAGTAGCTGATCATACAGCATTTGCGGTCTCATGTTCTACTTTATCTAAATGCAGTTATTCCTTTATTAATTATCCAGGGAGGCAGTCTTCGGATTCTTCATCGTCTGAGTCACGGAGAGGTTTGCCTTTCACCAACCCAGAGCCATTTTCACTTCTTAGTGCGTGCAGATTCTAACCTGCAAATATTTGATTAAACTATATTATATATATATATATATATATAATATAAAATATATCAATATAATTAATTTACCCATTCTATTTTAGATGGAATCATATAACAAGGCCATGCACCCTACAGTATGGATAAGATGGCCCTCTTTTTTCTTCCAACTGGGCCCATAATGAGTTTTGATGTGTTATATTTCTGGTCATCTCAATAAACAATTGGTTTGAAAACCCTAGTAAGGTTTGCTGAGTGACAAATCTTATGCGTCCTGTCATGTATAAAACTCAAGCAATTAAAAGCAAAGGACTGAGTATTATAAGTAGATCACAGGTTTAAGAGTAAAAGAGAGGAGTTGGCTTCTTGGTTGGGGGCTACTGGCAGACCGTGCAATGGGAGGATAAAACCAAGGAGAACTGCAGTAAAGAACCTCACCATCAAGAAGCATTTCAGAGAAAAAGTGAAGAGGATGGCTCAGAGAAGCACCTTTATTCTCCTGACAAGAGCCTGTCCAAGCTTTGGAAAACTTTGCAAAATAGATATGGGCAGTTTGTATACATTGTCAACCTGTGACATTTAGAAAAATAGAACTCATCTGCCAGGAGAATACAGCACCACTGAGTAGAAAGGTTTCCAAAATCCCAGTGGTTAGGCAACCAGCCAAGCCTAGGCCTAGACCAACTGGATGTCTAATAATGACAGCAAGTTTTCAAAGACCAATTCTACTTCTTTTCTGAGGACTTTTCTGCACGATGGATGCTACAGTGGCATAGCTAAGATACTAAACTATGCCATTATAGCACCATAAGGTAGATGTTTCCTAACCGATTAAAAGATTTTCTACATTGCTGTAGGTACTCCACCTCCACAAGCAGTTGTAGCTAGAACAACTGAAGCATTCTTCTATGGATCTAGTTTAGTCTACACTCATAAGTTAAGTTGGTATAGCTACAGCACTCAGGTTGTGAATTTTTAGATGATTTAAATATAATAATCTAAATTTTAAGTGTAGATCAGGCCTTGGTTCCCAGACTTGGGTGTCTAAATCCTCAACAGAGAATCCAAGGGAGGCCCTGTAAAAATTCCCCTCTATCTAAAGAGGAAACCCACTTAGAAGAGTGTGGAATTTCAGAGGACTCTTTACCACACATTGCAAGTTAGGCTATGCAATAGGGGCAGATTTCCAAGTGCTCTGCTTGCTACAAACCTCTGCTATTCCAGGTGTCTTGAACAGAGATTATCATTGGTGCTGAATTATGTGGTGAAATTTGTGGTATGCTCAGTAAAATGAGAAACACACCTCACTTTTGATCCAAATATGGATGGAAATCTACCTTCAGGAGCTGAATGGTCAGTTCTCATTCCACAGGAACAACTGTCAGAAAGAATCCTGGAGGGAGGTTCCAAAGAGGATGGAGAGAGGCTGTTCTCAGTAGTGACAGATGGCAGAACAAGGAGCAATGGGCTCAAGTTGCAGTGGGCGAGGTCTTCCCTAGGAGGGTAGGGAAGCACTGGAATGGGTTACCTAGGGAGGGGGTGGAATCTCCTGAGGTCTCTTCTAGCCCTATGATTCTATGACCAGCAGGAGGCTCTCTTCTGTCACACAGAAATATCTTTTCCTGCTACTGCTTCTCTGTTAGTTAGCACGCAACCTTATATGAAGTTCCTGTTAACCAGATTCAATACAATTTTCAAAGTACAAACCTGAGCAGGTAACTCCAGCATCTTCACTATGTTTGCAGTTGTGCTGGCCCCAGCCTCTGGAAGAACACTTCCGGAGATCTGACTCATTCCCAGAGCAGTTCACATCATCCAGCCAGATCTGCCCAGCTCCTTCCCCATAGTGAGCAGACCCAGTTGCTCTGGTGGCCTGTCCACATCCCAATTGTTTGCAAATGACACTGGAGTCCGACAGGTCCCAGGAATCATCACAGACTGTTCCCCAGGTGCCATTGTAATAAATCTCCACTCTCCCAGAACAGCGACTTGTCCCATTCACCAGCCTGATCAGCCAGGTTTCTGTAAAAATAAATCTGAGCTGTTAATTCATCATAGTCCCTAGTGGAAAAGAGTAATATTTGGCAAAATTTCAGAAATAAAATATCTGAGGTAGCATCACTGATATCTTCATTAATTACTGAATTTGCCATCTCATATGTGAAGATGTTACTATCTATCAGACAAGTCTCCTCTTCTACATACTTGGCACGTCTCATCCCCACAGGCACTGTTCCTCATTCAAATGCAGGGGGATTATAAATGAGTCAAACCCCACACTCATGAGACTGGCTTAAAAACATGACATAAAAATAATAAATCACATTATCTTCTGCCTGTCTTCTGATTTAAGTACATTGTGGGTAAGGCAAACACAAAGGAGAAAGCAGTTTTTAAAAAAAAAAAAAAGTTAAACTGGCTGTGACCCAGAGGGAGGGAATCATTTGTGGATCACTATTCTGTGGCACCAACTCTCATCAGGTTGACTGTGCTCTGTATCTCACACAATGTTATCATGATACTTATCCAAAAGGCAGCAGGCAATATATCACTAGACAACTAATAACTAACTCGATGATTAATACTCCCATGTGATGTGTGTACAGTTAGCCTACAAAAATTATACAGATGTACTGGAAATATGTGACTAAAATGTGTTTAACCAGGCATGTCAGGGGAAGTTAATAAATAGATTTTTTTTCCAAAGAAAAGGGGCATACAACCCTGAATGTGGCCAAAGACAATAGGCTAGTCATTTATATGGGAGACTGAAAGAAGATAATTTGCATTGCAAAAAATCACAAGTGGGGAAAAAGCCAGCAAATTGTCCACACCCGGAAGGGGCAATTAATTGTATCTTACGATACACTTCAGAAGAATACATCTCAAAGATTTACTGGATAGTAAAGAGAGGAGGCAAGAACCCCTAAATTATCCTTCATCTAGGCCTGATAGCCTAACCTCCCTGACCTGGCTTCCAACTGAGAAGCAAAAAAGCACCTCACTCATACTCATGTCTCCAACCCCACCGAGGAGGAGGGGGTAGAAGAGAGAGGGAAGTAGTTCCAGGCTTCGGAGACTTGCCATGCATTGGATCAAAGTAAGCCAGAGGCTAGATTTGGCCTGCCGGCCATAGGTTCCTCACCACTGATCTAAGGTGTCAAAGAAACCAAGAGCTTTGGGCTCTGGGATTGGATCCCTGGCTAATAACTACTTTTTATCCCAATTCTTTCTATTTTGTATAACTCAATTAGCTATTCTTTGTTACTAGACTTCATCTTGTTTTATTTCATAGACAAGCTAACAGGTAAATGCTATATACTGGCTCCAATTAAATTTTGCAAATTTGCTTTTAATTTTAAATTGTGACATTAAACTCCATATTCTTTATGAAAATATGCTTACGATAGAATATTACCTAACTGAGAAATGCTTTATGCAAGATGGCTCATGTTGCAAAGGTTGTGATTTACTGAATGTAATTATCCCATTTGTATCATTTCTGTATCTGAAACTAGGATTGCTGACCATGTCAAAGGTGCTACTTTGGTTGACACCCACTATTAGCCTTCAGGTACAACAATGAAAAAGCCAGACAGGGTTGGTGGCCCATTAGCAAAGCAATGGGCTGTGAAAGAGATCTGTCCTCCTGAGGATGCTTGAGACAGCAAAATGGCTGCCATAGCCCTGCAGAGACAGGATCCAGGAAATCTGAGACTGGACACTCCTCTCTCCTTTTGGAATGC